CCGAACCGCTGGCAGAACCGCTCCCATTTGCCGAGGGTGAATTGCGCGGCGAAATCGGCGACGATAACTTCTGGGGTGCCGTACCGTAGGAACAGCTCCTCCAGGTAGGCGGTTATCGTCTTGACGGTGATGTTCGGCACGGCTTTGGCCTCGGTCCACTTGGTGAGGACGTCTTCCACGACGATGGCGTATTCGGGTCCTGGGCCGGCATCCTGGTACCGACCCAGCGTGTCAATCGAGAGCATCTGCCATGCTCTCGTGGGCTGGTGGGTGCCCATAGGTGCTGCTGCTTGGAGGTTCCGGCCCTTGATCTGCTTGCACGTCAAGCAGCTCTTCACGAACCGGTTCACTTGGGCTCTCATCTTGGGCCAGTGAAAACGTTGGTCGATCGCCCTCCATGTCTCCAATTGGCCTGGGTGGGCAGCGTCGTCTCCGGCGTGGTAGGTCTCCAAAACCTGGGTCCGCATTCCTTCGGGTACGTAGACGCGACAGGAACCGTCCGGTTGCCGCAGGAACAGGTTGTTCTCTTCGGAGACGATGAAGTTCTCGAGCAGGGTCCGGTCGGTGTCGTTCTGGGGCCCGTTGACCTCGGCCTCCGAAATGCGACGCACCAGGCCCTGGGTTACGGTGTCGACGAGCTGCCCGGCCAAGATCCTCTTCACTAGCGGCTCGACCTGCAACAAACATACCCGGGGGGTGGGGATTAGTTCTGTATAACTTACCCGCGGCTCCTCGTTGGTGTCTTCGGGGTTCCTTGACAGGTAATCCGCCAGCTGGTTGTGCTTCCCGGCGACGTGCTCCACCGTGAATGAAAATTCCTGCAGGAGCAGCGACCATCTTGGTGGTTCTGGAGCCAGATCAGCGCTTTGTTGTCGGTCCGGAGCGTGAAGTGTTGGTCCTCAAAGTATTGCCTGTACCGGCGTATGGCCCATACCATAGCCAAACACTCCTTCTCGTTCACGTGATAGTTCTTTTCGGCCGGGTGGAATTTGGCCGAACTGAAGTGGATAATGTGCCTGCCTCCCTCGGGATCCTGTTGCATCAGTACGGCTCCCATCCCTAAGTCGGACGCATCGACCTGGAGGACGTAGGGCCAGCCGTGGTGGGGTCGTTCCAGGCGCTGAGGCTTGGCAAGCGCGGCCTTTGTGAGCCGCCAGCTTTCCTCGCACGCGGGTGTCCACTGGAACGCGCCTTCTTTGCACGTCAGGTTCGTGAGGGGCTCGATGATGGTGGCCAAGTTGGGAATATATCCGCGCAGCCAGTTCACTAGGCCAAGGAACGCTTGGACTTGGCGTTTGTTCTTTGGCTGCTCGAAATTCTTGACCTTGAGCAGGTGGCAGTCACGGGGCTTGGTGAAATTCCCATCCACACAGTAACCAAGGTACGGCAGGGTGCTGGTCGCGAGGCGGCACTTGGCTGGGTTTAACCGCAGCTGGTGAACCTCTACCCGCTCGAACACCGCTTGCAGGTGCCTGGCATGATCCTCGTGGTTCATGGAATACACGATCACATCGTCCAGGTACACTTTCACAAACTTGTTCAGCACTCCCGCGAAAATGTCCGTCATTGCACGCTGGAAGGTGGCGGGCGCCAGCTTGAGTCCGAAAGGCATAGCGGTGAACTGGTATTGGGCGCCGGATGGTGTGAAGAAGGCGGTGTACTTCTTGGAGGCCTTCTCCATGGGCAGTTGCCAATACCCGCTGGTCAAGTCCAGGGCGGTGAACACGCGGGCCTCCCCCAGGTCCCGAACCGTCTCGATAATCGGCGGCAGAACACTGCAGGCATCCTTGGTCCGCTTGTTCAGCTCGCGGTAGTCCACACAAAACCGCCAGCCTGCTTCTTTCTTGACCAGTACCACCGGTGATGCGTACGGGGAGTTGCATGGTTCGATGATGCCCCCTTTCAGCATGGTCTCTACCTGGTGGTCAATTTCTTTCTCCTTCTCCGGGCTGTATTTCCGCGGCCGGCATTTGAACGGAGTTGTCGACGACAACTCGATGCGGTGGCTGCGCAGCACCTCGGAAGGCGGCCGATTTTCTCCTAGGGCCTCCTCGGGGATATCGCTCGGTAGCTCGGGAAGCGGGAGCACCTCCTGGGTGCACCGGGCACGCGGCGTCCAAAATACCGTCTGCCGTTCATCTTTCCCTAGGTAGACGCATCCTCTGGCGACGTCGACGAGCGCTCGCTGCTCTGTGAGGAAGTCCATACCTAGTATCACGGGAACCGGCAGGCGTTGCACGACGTGCATGGTGTACCGATACGCGCGGTCCTGGATCGTGAAGTGAAGTTGGACGTAGCCGAGGATTTCAACGGTGTTACCGCCTACGGCTAAAACTCGCGCCTGCTTCTTCACGTAATCCGGCGCGTACTCTGCTGCCACTACCGACATATCCGCACCTGTGTCAATCAACGCACTTAACCTATTTACTTGCCCGCGGCACTTAATGTCTATCACAGGACTTGTCTTTTTATTCACTGTAATAGTGTTTATCTCGGAGTCACACTCTGCCCCGTGTGTCTCCGGTCGGAGTTTTCCGACGGTTGGGCGCGGAACTTAATCGTCGTGGCGCGGTTGAAGTCGCACCCGCGCATGTCGGCCTCCGTGATGCGGGTCCTCCGGGTCAACGTGGCCATGTCCGCAATGTTTTCGGCTCGCAGCACGTACTTTAGGCGCGGCTGGAGCAGGTTGAACACTACCCGCACTAAACTTGCCTCCGGCACCTCGGGCAGCAGCCACTGGGCCATTGACCGCTTCCGCTGGATGAAGCGGGTCACGTTCTCTTCCTCGGGCTGCCGTTCCCCGTAGAATTTGGACGTCAGCTTGGCCACTCTCTCCTCGTCCATGAAGGTTTGTGCGAAGATTTCTCGGAAATCTTCCCACGACATCTCCTGGCTCCTGTACCACAGGAACTCCTGCTCCTGGGCCCCCTTGATTTGGCCTAGTGCGTGGAACGCCCATTCTTCGGCCGGAATTCGCCGCTTTTTCAGGGCCTCCTCCATTTTCCGCAGAAAGAACTGCGGGTTTTCGTGGTCCTCCCCTTGATATGTGGGGAAAACCACACGTTGCATGGGTACCTCCTTTAACCCGATGGCGAGCTCCTCGAGTAGCACTCCCAAGTCCGCCCTGGGTATCCTGGATGATGGGGGGACTTGTCCGGGGTCCAAGTCCGATGCTCGGGCGCCATGTTGTAGACGGTGGCCCCCCAGGTGGTCCATTCCCGTCTGGTGGTCCCCGAGGGCCGTCACTTGTACGTCCAGGGGCGAAGCGAGGGATGCGCTACCTCCGGGGCCGCCAAGGAATTCCTCGGTTGTGTCGGACGCCGGGCCGGGTGCCGCGAGGTCCGTCTGCGTGCCGGCGGTCAGCATCTCGGCCATGGCGGGCTCGCGTACGGAGTGTCGGTCGGCGGACGTCTGGCTTCGCGTCACAACGGGCATTCAGTGGGGCCGTGGGGCCCGAGCGGTGAAACTGCGGTGGCGGTGAACGTCCCGGCGTCGGTGGGCGTCGCGGCGTCGGTGGGCGTCGCGGCGGCGATGGGCGTCGCGGCGGCGGTGGGCGTCGCGGCGGCGGTGGGCGTCGCGGCGGCGGTGGGCGTCGCGGCGGCGGTGGGCGTCGCGGCGGCGGTGGGCGTCGCGGCGGCGGTGGGCGTCGCGGCGGCGGTGGGCGTCGCGGCGGCGGTGGGCGTCGCGGCGGCGGTGGGCGTCGCGGCGGCGGTGGGCGTCGCGGCGGCGGTGGGCGTCGCGGCGGCGGTGGGCGTCGCGGCGGCGGTGGGCGTCGCGGCGGCGGTGGGCGTCGCGGCGGCGGTGGGCGTCGCGGCGGCGGTGGGCGTCGCGGCGGCGGTGGGCGTCGCGGCGGCGGTGGGCGTCGCGGCGGCGGTGGGCGTCGCGGCGGCGGTGGGCGTCGCGGCGGCGGTGGGCGTCGCGGCGGCGGTGGGCGTCGCGGCGGCGGTGGGCGTCGCGGCGGCGGTGGGCGTCGCGGCGGCGGTGGGCGTCGCGGCGGCGGTGGGCGTCGCGGCGGCGGTGGGCGTCGCGGCGGCGGTGGGCGTCGCGGCGGCGGTGGGCGTCGCGGCGGCGGTGGGCGTCGCGGCGGCGGTGGGCGTCGCGGCGGCGGTGGGCGTCGCGGCGGCGGTGGGCGTCGCGGCGGCGGTGGGCGTCGCGGCGGCGGTGGGCGTCGCGGCGGCGGTGGGCGTCGCGGCGGCGGTGGGCGTCGCGGCGGCGGTGGGCGTCGCGGCGGCGGTGGGCGTCGCGGCGGCGGTGGGCGTCGCGGCGGCGGTGGGCGTCGCGGCGGCGGTGGGCGTCGCGGCGGCGGTGGGCGTCGCGGCGGCGGTGGGCGTCGCGGCGGCGGTGGGCGTCGCGGCGGTGGTGGGCGTCGCGGCGGCGGTGGGCGTCGTGGCGTCGTGGGGCGTCGCGGCGGCGATGAGCGTCGCGGCCTTGGCGGGCGTCGCTACGTCGTGGGCGTCGGTGTAGGGGTGGGCGTCGTGGAGCGGCGCGGCAGCAGTGGAACGTCGCCTAATACTTACCCAGCGACCCGTGGTAATTGATTACTCGAAGTATTTCTTTCTTTTTATTATACGTCGGTAACGTGATTATCGAACAGTTATTTCTTTCTTTTTATATGTAGGCTGGCGAGCAATCGTCCGGGTGGACCGATGTGCGAGCAGCGAAGGTAGGTCGTTGAGTAAAACCACAGAGTATCTTCAGCAAGCAGGCTTGACCTTTCTGGCACCTAAGTCTCGGTTAGGAGCCTTAGATGTGGAGCAGTCGAAGGATGGCGCGGAAGAGAGAGTGAATGCTCGCTTGCGCGCCGTTTTAAGCAAATCGAGCTGGTCAGTGCTGGGTGAGTGCTAGCCAATCACTGACCAGGCGTCGACACACGGCAAAAGGTAGTTTAAACAGCGCGGACGGAAGACTAAACGTCGCAGTCTATCCCGCTGGGTGCAACTTTTGTTCCCAACCCAATTTATTCGCCTTAAATCCTAAATTTGAGTGCCCAAGCCTTCAATATGGCTGAAAAAGTCCATCAAACTCCCCCCAAGCCTTCGGAAATTCCTTCCGTGGAAAAATTCCACGCCGAAAGCAATACTAAAGAGGCCCCTGCTTTTGGCAGGTCTCTAAAACTAGACCGCACTCCTGTTAAAGGTGCCAAGCCTCATACCCTTGCCAAACCAGACCGCCCCAAGGACCCCAAAAAGGGCAAAAAAGATAAAGATAAGGAGAAAAAGTCTGGCAACTCAACAGGGGGCGACTCAAAGCCCCAAGACAAGACCAAAACTTCCATCTCGCCCAACATCGAGGAAGCCATTGCCAAACTGCACTCCAAAAATCTTTTTCTAGAGCCCAAAATCCAAAGCCATGAGGAAATCCGCCTCCAACGGGAAAATGCCAGACTCATGGGCATGGTGGAGAGTCTGACTGCCCAACTTTCTACTCAATCTACCCAAATCACTTCTTTACAAAAGCAAATAGATATTCTTAACTCAAATATAATATCTCTCACTCACACGGCCCAAGACAGGTTGCTTCTAACCCTGACCTCTCTCCAAACTCGGAAAGCTCAAATAAACGCAGGAGAGTAACCTCCCCTGCTAAAACAACGAGCCCGACCGCTGAACTTATGGACCACATTGCTACTCCTACATCTTCGGCTCATGCCTTTAATTTTCCTCCTCTGCCTCCACCCCAGGCTCCCGCTCTACCACCTACGGTTACCAACCCTACAGTTCAGGTATCAAACTACATCCCCCCCACGGCCAAACCCCCCCCAGCTTTTGTCAATCCTACCCAGCCAAAAAACACTCCTGGCCCAACCAACTACTCCGCCCCAGCCAAAACAACGGTAACCCCAGAACCATCAACATCTGCAGGTCCCCAAGTGCAACCCCAACCCAAGCAGGACAAAATCCCCCCAATTATCCTCAGACAAAAATCTCGGTGGACCATGGTATCTGGGGCCATAACCAAACTCGGTTTCTCTTTTTCAAAAGCCGTCAATACTCAAGACGGTCAAATTTTTTCCTGTCACCAGCGACGACTACCGCGGCATAACGAAATTCCTCTCTGAAAATAGGGAGGAATATCACACTTTCATGTTGCAAGAGGAAAAAACTCTACAAGTTGTCATCAGAGGACTCCCGCTAGAAATCGCCATTTCAGATCTATCGAAAATGATCTTATTGACCATAAATACCGCCCCACCCTTGTCACCAGGATGCGTCGCGGCCAACTTAAGACTGAAATGCCCCTTGTCTCTGCCGCATTAAAGTCAAGGTAGAAGCGCTCGAACGCAAAAGCACAATTACTCAGTGTTACCGTTACCAAAAGTTTGGCCACGCACAGACAAAGTGCTCTGCATTTCCCCGCTGCGTCAAGTGCGCAGGTGATCACCATTCATGGGAATGCACAAAAGCCAAAGAAGTCACCCCCAAATGTGCCAACTGCGGCGGTCCTCACACGGGCAACGCTACGATCTGCCCCAAAAATCCAAATGCCAAGCCACCGCCGACAGCCCAGGCTTCTGCCACTCTTCCGGCAAATAACACTCCACCCGTTACCGGCAAAACATATAGCCAGGCCACCAATCTTCCTCCCGCAGTCACACAAACCGCAACGGGCCACAGTTTTTCCCCAGACATGACAACACTCATGGCAACCCTCATTAATTCAATAAACAGCCTCACCGCCAGAATGGACGCTAAATTCTCAACACAAGATCAAGCCATCCTAGCCCTATCGCAGTCCATCGCCTAAATAATGCCAGCAAACCATAAAGCCCCCTCTCTGGACATCATTGTCTGGAATATCAACGGTATAAAGTCCAGAAAGCTGGAGATCGAGGCCCTACTAAATGAACTTCGCCCAGACCTGCTCTTGCTTACTGAGACAAGAATCACAGGTAATTTCTCCCCCAAATTCGCTGGATACTGTGTTTATAACTATCCCAGGCCAGCGCAGAACGGCGGGGGTGGCATCATGTTACTTGTTAACCTTACTATTTCACACTGTTCATGCTTAAACATCCAAGCGCAACATGACACCCTCGAGCACGCTGCCGTCTATGTGGAAACCAGTTTCTCAAACCGACTCAAAATAGCAGTGGGGTACTTCCCCCCAGGCCACCCCTTTCCCGAAGGCGAATTCACCGCGGCCCTAGCTGAAGACATTCCCACCTTTTTCGGCGGCGATTTCAACGCCAAACATCATACATGGAACAGCCGAAACCCCAATCGAAATGGAAACAAGCTCTGCCATCTGGCCATGTCTTCAGCCTGGGACGTCCTAGGCCCTGAGGACCCCACTCACGCCCAAGCCCACCACCTTCCAGACGTGTTAGACATCTCAATTCTTAAAAATTACTCGCTGGAAGCCACTGCCCTCACAATCACCGGCTCCACTTCAGACCACAGCCCCGTCAAATTCCACCTAGGCCCTCTCCGTCCCCGAAACCAAGTAAAAACAATCACGAAAACAAGCTGGTACACCTATCACCGCCTCCTGTCGGCCAATGAAGATCTAACGCCTACCCCCACGACGCCTGAAATGGTGGATGCCCTTGCCATTTAAATTTCTCAAAAAATCCACTCAGCACTCCAGCAGGCCACTTACGCAAAAACTGTCCCGATAATGTGCCCCTACGATATCTCGCAGGAAACCAAAACACTAATCATTGAAAAAAGGCGGGCAAAAAAGAGGGCTGAACGTACACTAAACCCGGCGGACAGGAGAACTTACAACCGACTGGCAAGCCAAGTAAAAACGGCGCTGGCCGACCACAGAAACGCCCGATGGGGGCACACTCTCCAAAACCTGAACCCTGCAAAAAGTAATGACATTTGGAGAATAATCAGGGGTCTAAAAAACCATGAGCCACCTCAAAATCACCCCCTCCAGGGTCCAAACGGCCTCCTCTACACAGACCAGGAGAAGGCTGACTGTTTTGCAGAAGTCCTTGAGTCCCAATTCACCGACAATCCCCCCCTACCAAGGCATGTAGAGGAGGACCGCAGAATGGTGGACTTTGTAGACGAATTCCTTGCCGATGACCATCAGGCCCAATCTCTTTTGACCTGATTACTACCACCATTAAATCACTAAAAAACAAAGTCGCTCCTGGAGAGGATAAAATTACCAACCTGGCCCTCAAACACCTAGCCAGAGTTATGATCAGTAACCAGTAAGCCCTGGTAAACGGCGTATTACACACCTCTCATTTCCCCTCTTCCTGGAAAAGGGCCCAAGTGATCTTACTTCCCAAGAAGAAAAAAGCCAGGCAACTTCCTGAAAACTTCAGGCCTATCTCTCTCTTGCCCTCCCTGTCAAAACTTCTGGAGAAAGCCATCAAGGTCAGACTTGATGAGGAAATTGAGTCGAAAAATCTTCTCCCAGACGACCAATTTGGTTTCAGACCACAGCTGTCCACCGAGCTACAAATCACTCGTATAGCTGAGACTTTCTCACACGGCACAAAAAACAGGTATGGTGCTATTAGATATCAGTAAAGCGTTCGACAGAGTGTGGCATGTTGGACTTCTCATCAAGCTCATAAACATGGAGATCTCACCACCTCTAGTCAAGCATATATCATCATATCTGTCTGGCAGGACTTTTACCACCCAAGTTACCACCGCCCTCTCTCTGGCCCACCCCATACAATCAGGAGTCCCACAAGGATCTGTAATTGGACCCACTCTCTTTAATTTTTACTTGGCTGACCTTCCGCGCACCCCAGGAGTCCTGACGGCAATGTATGCTGACGACACCGCCCTCGTTTACAAAAGTTCTAACCCTGGTCTAATCGTCCGCAAACTACAAAAGGCACTGGACAGAGTCAAGTCCTGGGCCGACAGATACAGGGTTAGAATTAATCCAGAGAAAACACAGGCTATTCTTTTTAGGAAGGAGGTGCGCTACCAGCTACCCTTAAATACGGCAACCAAGACATCCCCTGGGCCCAGTCAGCCAAGTATCTGGGAGTCATACTGGACGAAAAACTAACCTGGAAAAGGCACATTGACGCCACTCTGGCAAAAATTACAGGCATCACTAAAACACTAAGGCCACTATACATCGGTAACTTTCTAAGCCTAAAGAACAAACGCACAGTCTGGATAGCGATCGTCAGGCCCATCATAACTTATGCCTGCGCAGCCTGGTCTAAAGCTGCGAAAACGCACCTAAACCTGCTCGAAATCCAACAAAGCAAGTTCCTTCGAACCATAACCAGGGCCCGATGGTTTGTAAGAAACGCCCAGCTTAGGGATGAGCTCAATGTGCCAGAGCTAACAACGCATATATACTCCCTAGCTAACGCCATGCTGGATAGAGCAGAGGCAATCACCAACAGGGCTCTCCACAATGCCCTGGATTATAATCCGGACGATCGACGCCTCTACCGAGGTATCCGTGGTACCGTTCAAGACCGACTACATCACCATAGGCCCCCCTAAACCAAAAATACAAATTCCAATCACAATTTACCACAAATAAGGCGCTTTACGCAAATTTTTCATGTGGCATTTATCATGTGGCTGAGTCAAACGAGGTTTTATTTGGCCGCACCGTGCGGAAAAATTTATTTCATTTTGATTTTTTTAGTTATTTTTTGTTATTTCTTCACGAAACTTTCACATATCAACAAGCAAATTTTTACAAGCCTTTTTGGCTTTTTGTCAAATTTTTGAAAATTTTATTTTTTATTTTTGCAACTGTGCATTGCTAATTTCACCAATTCTCCAAGTAAAAACTCATATATAATCACTCAAGCATAACATCAATCACACTAACTATTTTTAAACTCTACTCAACCACCAATTTCTTGCCTCACAAGTTTAATAAACTCTCTCCTCAAGAGAAATGCACAGTAAAACTTAAAAAAAAAAATCATGCTAATCATAAAATTCTTTGCAGCTCTCCAAGGTATCACCCATCCACTCAGATATACCATATGCAGACAGTGGGAGCGACTGATTTATTATAACCAGCTCGTTCCCATTCCCCTGCTATATTAAGTAAAGGCCGCTGGCGGACCCAAACTACCCCACCCACATCTCACCTCATCCCAGATTTACTATGCTATAGTACTTCCACTCCCACCCATGCATTCCTATCCTCAAAGTAAGGGCAAAGGGTCACTATGACAAGTCCTTTGCTAGGGCAATAAGCCCAGTTTTATTCATTTGGAGGCTACAAAATACAAAATTTTCCAAATGTCCTTATTTGGTCATACGAAATTCCAAAGCTTCTATTTTGTTCTAGAAACACGGTTTTCGTGACCAAATAAGGTAATGAAACGAATTATCGATTATTATTGGTTTCAAAATCCTTCCGATTTAATATAAATAGTAAGCTGTATTAAAATCAGTTCAATTTACGAGCTCAAAGCGACTTCCAGCTTTGACTCTAATCGATGTGCCATCTCGACAAACCAACTGGTAACTTATTTTGACTTTGAATATTGTTTTTATTGTTTGCCTTTTAAAATTAATTTCCTTCAGGAATTAATTACTGTTTGGATTAAAATTCAAGTGATTGAATTTATTTTGAATTAAACTTCAAAAGATTCGTAGTTAATTTATGTTTGATATTTAAAACCCGTTCGTAGAACGAAAATTCAAGTAATTGAATTTATTTTGAATTAAACTTCAAAAGATTCGAAGTTAAATTATTTTTGATACTTAAAAACAGTTCGTAGAACTAAAAAACTTGTAAATTCAAGTGATTGAATTTATTTATTTACAGTGCTTCTGGTCAAGAAGGAAGGAGGATGGCGATTCTGCGTCGACTACAGAGAACTGAATAAAAGAACCAAAGATGTTTGCAGCGTATTGCCACCAATCGTCGAAACTGTCCGTGACTTAGGAACTGCCAAAGTTTTTTCTGCTTTGGATCTGACAAGTGGATATTGGCAGCTTCCAGTGGATAAGAAATCACGCGCTTATACAGCTTTCTTCACACCTGATGGAACACAATACCAATTTACTGCAATGCCTTTTGGCTTGAAGCTGGCCCCGACTACATTTCAGCGGGCTATGTTAGACATCTTTACCGGAATGCTGAACAAAGTCT